CCTATGAATAACATGGGTATCTATGTATATCTATGTATATCTATATAACTAAAACTAGAACTAAATCTATTCCGATATATATCTATTTATTTTATAAGTCATATATGACTGTTGAGGATGCATTTATATTATAATTCGAATTAGGCAACTCATGGAAACAACTCAGTTTCAGTTATACTTTCGTATGATAAAATGATTTATAATACCATCCCTTACTTTATACAACTTACAATAAGATCGAAAATTTGAATACACATAATTTAAAACAAAGAGACTTACTTGTTATGACCATTCATTAGTGGATGTTTATCTGGTAGTCAAGGAGTACTCAGTTCAAACCTAAGCTCTTGCAATCGAGGAAGATGTTCAAGTAAATGTGATAGAAAACCTGGGGAACACTGTCGCAGTACAATTGATTGTAAGTTCAAAAGACTCGTTTCAATCGGCATGAAAGCTTTACCAAGTGGTAGAACTATTTGGCATTCTAGAGTCTTATATATGTATCTCCAGAAACTGAGATGGCATACATGTAACAAAGTAAATAAGTGAAAAATTCGTACATAATATGCACCTTCAAGCACACCTTCATATGTATAAGCAGCAGAATAGTAAGTTGGAAAATGCACGCTAAATATGAAGAGAGAAGTGTTGGATGAGAATACGTTGAGTATCAATTCAAATGAAGAACGTTTAATGTCAATTAAAGATAAATGACGAAGTTTTGATGAAGGTAGATAAACATTCAGCTAACCATAATCCATTATCAATAGCTAATGTATCTGAGACACACAATGATATAAGACGATTTGAAACGTTTGGTTGTGATAAATGTGTATAATAGAATTCAGTCAATGCAATATTCATTCCATTCCGACCCAAGTAAACATAAATAAGCGACATATTACTAAGGATAGCAGCAAATCGAGAATTGAGATTAGAAAAAACATTGAATAGTTCATGAAACTGGGAATAAATAAATATTTCGTTGAGCAACTCGACAGAGAGATGCTCAAGTGTTGTTGTCATATTTAGTCTTAGTATCAAGCTATTGAATGTTATGCATTATTCTTATTTAATAGCTTCATATACAATAATACGAAGCGTTATTGTTCTTCCAATCGTCATGCATCACCGCGATAAGACGATGTTGTTATTCGTCAATCTCATAGGTCAACGAATAATCAATTTTTTTTTTCTTTCGTTCATTTTTTTTCCGTCAGCAACGATTATTAGAGGTATCATTGAAATGTTTTTTTTTCGACAATTATTAACAATTATTTGTGGTTATACCGAATTGATCTATCTAACATATGCTTAATATTTCGTGTGATTGTTACTTTTTACTGTCAGGTCTCATTCATTGACTTCAAATGATCATCTATTTTCCAAAGCTGGGCAAGTCAAGTCAAGTCAAATCATGAGTATTAAGATATTTCCTCAAGCGCAGTGAAGTCGCGCTTCACTGGAGTTGACTTCGGAAAATTTTTTAATACGCTTGACTTGACTTGAGTTGGCTTGAGAAAAATTTTTCTGATCTTCTGACTAGTTTCTAGGTTTCATCATGTTAGTCTTCTAAAGAGTGCATTTTTTCGAATTTTCAATAAAGTGAAGGGATCGGAGAAGTTTATTTTTCGCTATTTCAATTTGTCAGTTTAATACTATAATTCTATAACAGCTGTTCAGCTTTAAATGGTAGAATCTGCTGATATTCTCTATCAGTTTTTCAGTTTCTTCTTTATTTTGTGACTTTTCTCCACTTATTAAGTCATACAGATTTTTCTATTGTGTTCCTTTTCTTTCTGTTCAGTAATAGGATTTTTCCCTTTATTCCCTCGACTGAAGGGAGGGTCATATGAAAAAAAAAAGTTTGTTTGCTTGTTATGTCTCCTAAGTTTTTTCCTTCAACACTTTTCTATATTAATCAGTACACATTATTGATCATAAACCTATGCGTAGTTGCTGATCAGAGTTGGACAAGTCAAGTCAAGTCCAAGTCAGTTCAACTCAAGTTAATTGACTTGACTTGATTCTGTCAAAACATTTTGAGGTTGTGACTTGACTTGAAATTTTTTTAAAAATTATATCTAGTAAGAAATTTTCGTTTAGTATAGAGATTTTTACCATGAAATAGTACTCTGAGGTTGTAAAAGTCCTTCATCCAAAAGATGCTAGCAAACTTTATGTTCTGGATAATTCTTAAGTAGACTTCACTTGACTTGTCACTCGGAAGTTAGCTCTCTTGCCCAGTTCTGTTATTTACATTGCTTAGAATGACGAAAAATATAAGACATGGAAATTCTACTCGTCTTCAATGAACTATGAATGTAATTTACATGGTCTTTTCGAGGAAAAAACTTTAAAGTTGTTTTTCTATTTGAAAAAATCAACATTTATTGCAATATAATCAATAATGAAAAACTAAAAGGGTGTGGGTGTATGGATGTTGGTGTGGATGTGGGGTGGATGTGGGTGCGAGTTTGATTAATAGCCGCAGCGACACAAACTCACGCTCGCATCCACACCCACACCCCGCATCCACACCCACACCCCACACCCACACCCACCCACACCCACACCCCCACACCCACACCGACACCCATCATCTTGATCAACACGCACAAAATCCTAATCCAGTGGAGAATTTAAATCATTATCCATACTCATATCACAGTGATCACAACCATCAGATTTTTCAATATTGTCAATGTCCATTTCTGTTTGTTCATAAAACATGAAACGATGTTGTTCATATTGGAAACAAATTGAGCAAAAACGATCACCTTCTATCAATCTTTCTGAAGATCCATTTGAAATAGCTTTATGATGATTATTAATGAATTCTGTCACTTCTTTATTTATTGTCCTTTTACCTTTCGATTGTGATGGTTTTAAATCTGTCTTCCAAAAGTGTTTCTTTCCATTCGGCAACAGTTCATCATGCTTCGGACGTCAACACCAAATAATACGCTTGTTGGACATCGTTAATAATAACATCGAGAAGTAAATAAAAAAAAAAAGTAAATAATGCAACGATTTCGATAACAACAGCTTTCAATGAATCATATTTTCTACAAACCAATTGGTTATCTTCACGAACATAAGAAAATCTCTATTTAATAAATACAATAATCTCATCGATCGATGTCATATCCATTCATGACACCTTCCGTTGATCCCTAATTCTGTTATCATCAGGTCTTCTTGAAAATGTAAGTAACTATACCCAAACATTTTGTTAGTTTTTAAAAGAAAAGAAGCGCTGATATTTAATTCATCTTTTATAATTATTATCTTTAAAATCAATAACAAGTAGAGAACTAATTAGTACATCATGTGGAGTAAATTTTGCTCTATCGAATCGGTTATATTATTATTATTATAGAAAATCTAACATTTTAGTCAATTCAGAATTGATTCTCTAATTCATTTTTTCCTTCGTATGTGTTATATAAGTCATACAAGCATCATTTAAATATGTAAGCATTTCATATTAGAGATAGTTGATTCCATACGAACTCTGGTCAAATTTTTTATGATCTGTTCCTATGTTTCAGTCGATTTTAAATTTAATTAAATAGAACTGACTTATCAATTTCATCTGCAGAAAACTAGATAATTTTTACACATAATAAACAAAAGCAAATCCAATGTACTCATATTATTTAACTTGTATTATGATCAAAATATGGTTCACTGCTACATAATCTAGTATAAAAATCATCGACGTAACAATCATTACAAACCCTTAATGTTAATGGTGAATTTTGCACTGGTTTGTAATATAATTTATTTAGATCGGACGGCTATATGCATCGAAATTCACTAAATAATGGTAGTAAAAAGTATTGTTGACGTGCGCCGCTTTCAAGATAATAATTGAGACGAAAACAAGCTAGTGCATGTTGTAGGGCAAGTTTTGCTCTATCGAACTACCAATACCAGTATCCTGGTTTCTTCCACTTTTCTGATCAAATTTTTCAAACATTTTCATTAAGTATTACGTCATATAGTGAAGAAAAGAATCCCAAAAGAGTCCATGAAAATTTTATTAATATCTACAGATTATGATGCAGTTTTCCACGAAGAATCAGAATATGCCATTGGTTTAATGATCCGAGTGGTAAATCATGACATATCATTAATTTTTCGATACTACTCCGACTTCAGTTTTTGCAAAAACAATGCAAAAACGAGAAAAATGTGGTACAAGTATTTCGTCTATATCTCAATAAGAATACGATCAAATTTAAAAAATTTTTGCCATCAAAATGATCAGCGTAAAAAGCTCTACAAATTCTAAAATTTTCATTAGATTTGGACGAGATTCCCGGATGGTCCTGGCGACTTCCTATGGGCACACCCCTTGATTTTTATTTGATAATGATAATAAATTTATCGAAACATCGTAAAAAATGAAAAACTAAAAGAATATGTCTTTTATTTATTTATGCTGCCGTAAAAGCTTTCTTATGTAGTTGTTGTTTCTGCATCGGCTATTGTTTCTGTGTCTTAAATTGTTTCTGTATCGTCTGTTATTTCTGTATCGGTTGTTGTTTCTGTATCAGTTGTTGTTTCTGTATCAGTTGTTGTTTCTGTATCGGTTGCTGTTTCTGTATCGGTTGCTGTTTCTATATCGGTTGCTGTTTCTGAATCAGTTGCTGCTTCTGTATCGGTTGCTGTGTCTGTTTCGGTTGCTGTGTCCGTATCGGTTGCTGTTTCTGTATCAGTTTCTGTTTCTGTATCGGTTACTGTTTCTGTTTCGGTTTCGGTTGCTGTTTCTGTATCGGTTGCTGTTTCTGTCTCGGTTGCAGTTTCTGTCTCGGTTACAGGCTCTGCCTCAGTTGCAGTCTCTGTCTCCGTTGCTGTTTCTGTTTCGGTTGCTGTTTCGGTTGCAGTTTCTGTCTCTGTTGCAGTCTCTGCCCCGGTTGCTGTTTCTGTCTCGGTTGCTGTTTCTGTTTCGGTTGCTGTTTCCGTTTCGGTTGCAGTCTCTGCCCCGGTTGCTGTTTCTGTCTCGGTTGCAGTTTCTGTTTCGGTTGCAGTTTCTGTCTCGGTTGCAGTCTCTGCCCCGGTTGCTGTTTCTGTCTCGGTTGCTGTTTCTGTTTCGGTTGCTGTTTCTGTCTCGGTTGCAGTCTCTGCCCCGGTTGCTGTTGCTGTTTCTGTTGCTGTTTCTGTTTCGGTTGCTGTTTCTGTCTCGGTTGCAGTCTCTGCCCCGGTTGCTGTTTCTGTCTCGGTTGCTGTTTCTGTCTCGGTTGCTGTTGCTGTCTCGGTTGCTGTTTCTGTCTCGGTTGCTGTTGCTGTTTCGGTTGCTGTTACTGTTTCGGTTGCTGTTTCTGTTTCCGTTGCTGTTTGTGTATTGGTTGCTGTTTCTGCAATGACTGTTGTTTGTGTAATGGCTGTTGTTGTTGCAATGACTGTTGTTTCTGCGCCTATTATTGGTATTTTTCTTTTCTCTAAAATAAATCAAAAGTCAAAGTTCTAACATTCTGCAGGGTAATTCGTTCGCAATTAAACTAGCGATAAAATCCTCATGAAATAATTTTTGGATAATATCTGTTAGAAGGATATTCCTGTTATAGCGTACACATACATAATAGTAGAAGTAGTAGTCTTAGGTGGAATTGATCTAGTTTTTTTGAAAACGAGTATCGGCCTACTTGCATGAGCCGAGACAGCAATGATAGATCGAGTCTTATAATGAAATTTCTTTTAATATTGAGCTTTACCAAGTTTACCATTTAGATCATGAACGTGAAAGAGCTGAATATCTTTGTGCAAATATTTAATATGTGGTTTTCAGCGCAGAAAACATTAATATGAATATCAACCTATTATTATTATTATTATAGTCAATAAAGATAGTACATGCTTTATTACGATAAAGTGTCGAAAACAATCAATAGATTGTGATAGTGCAATATATTTTTGTGAGGAGAAAAGAAGTAATATATTTTCGATCCATCTAACAATAAAAAGAATTATTTTTCGCATAAAAATGTTAAATGAATCTAATAATTGGTAGAATAGTAATTCTAAATGTAAACACTTTCAAAATGATTAAAATTTCAGTGAGTGCATATTAACTATAAACAATTTTAAGTTTTGGTTTATTCATATATTTGACATCTTTTTAAATAAATTATTCTGACCCCTCTGATAATATTCCATAAATTTATAACAGTCAGAGTTTGTGAGTTCTACACTTAGGCACCTCATGGGAGCACGCTGACAAGCTTTTAACACGATCCTTACATGTCAGACCTATGGAAACAAGATGTATGTTCCCTTTGTAGACAAAATAGGATACTTACCAATACATATGCGATTGTAGCAGAAGTTGCATGTGCAATCTGAATGTACTTTACACCTCTTACCAGGGTCACACTTCTTTCCTTCTGCTACACATTTACCACCACAGTCGAAATCTGTCTCATCTCCGTCTTTCACACGATTATTACAGGTTGAATCTATGAAAAGAAGACGTATGTTCATTTCTAGACAGAATAGGATACCTACCAACACACCAGCCATTTGAGCAGATGTTGCTTTTGCAATCTGATGGTACCTTACCCCTCTTACCATTGTCACATTTCTTTCCTTTTGATGCACATATACCACCACAGTCGACATCTGTCTCATCTCTGTCTTTCACACGATTGTTACAGGTTGAATCTATGGAAAGAAGACGTATATTCTATTTCTAAACAGAGTAGGATACCTACCAACACACCAGCCATTTGAGCAGATATTGCTTTTGCAATCTGATGGTATCTTACCCCTCTTACCATTGTCACATTTCTTTCCTTTTGATGCACATATACCACCACAATCGACATCTGTCTCGTCTCCGTCTTTCACACGATTATTACAGGTTGAATCTATGAAAAGAAGACGTATGTTCCATTTCTAGATAGAATAGGGTACTTACCGACACACCAGCCATTTGAGCAGATATTGCTTTTGCAATCTGATGGTATCTTACCCCTCTCACCATTGTCACATTTCTTTCCTTTTGATGCACATATACCACCACAGTCGACATCTGTCTCATCTCTGTCTTTCACACGATTGTTACAGGTTGAATCTATGGAAAGAAGACGTATATTCTATTTCTAGACAGAATAGGATACCTACCAACACACCAGCCATTTGAGCAGATATTGCTTTTGCAATCTGATGGTACCTTACCCCTCTTACCATTGTCACATTTCTTTCCTTTTACTGCACATATACCACCACAGTCGACATCTGTCTCATCTTGATTTTTCAGATTGTCGTCACAACTGGGATCTGAAAGTCAGAAAGATTAATTAATCCCATGATATATGATAGAGTAAGTGAAAAATCATCTAGTTTCAGTTTATGGTGCTTGAATTTTCGGTGTAATAGAAGTTCATATCGTAGTCTTTGTGATATCTCGTTTTCATCAAGTCAATGCTCCAGTGAATTGTAATCTTGCTGTTTTGTAGAATGAAATGATTTTGATATCAGAAAGTTTTCTAAGAATATTTTTTTTATAATTATGTTTATTCTATCATTTAGCATGGAGCAGTAGATTATTTTGTGAGCTAATATTATCATTAATGGGATTTGGCTCTCTTCTTCAATTCTTGGACATATAAGTAGTCTGTTGATTTTGCTTTTTCTCAGTAAACTGAGTTCTTTGCTCAGACTTTCTATGTGGACTAGTTTGGGATTTTCCAGTGAAAACTCGTTTTAAAACTATATTTTTGCAGGCGGATTTTACATGCCGAGGTAAATACTGAGAAATCAAATAATCTTTGCGAATATGTCTTACATCCGTTACATGCCTCGTCTAGGAACTATGTGCTGATATATTTATCTGTGTTCTTATACCAAATAAAGCTTTCCATCGTTTTCAATCTTGTCGTATTACATATCGCTGATTAGGACAGCATCATGCATGAAAATTTTTTGCAAGAGTAATATAAGACGTGACGGAAAAGTCTGCAAAAATGTTAAACTCTGTTAGATCATATTGCTAACTTTTAAATGAATCAAATTTTTTTATTGGAAACAAGAAAGTTAAAACTATAAAGGACAAGTGGCAATAAGGCCATTTTTTTGACTAAAATATTTTCAAGAAATAAATATAGGAGAATAACCAGTTTGACATGGGCTACAAATGTAGCATAGTCATTTCATTCGAAATGACAATTAGATTTTGGCTTCTGTGCGCCTCCTCCGGAGTATGACAATTTTTTTTTCAAAATTCATTGTTTACAAATAACTAAGGCTATCAAATCAATTATGCTGATCATGAATATCGCTATTTCAAAATTCAAAAATGTACCTTCAAGAAGTAAATCGATTATAACTTATAATCTGATTGTATAGCATAAACTGTGTTTTTTATTCTTCCCTTTGAAATACTGACCTATAAACAGGGGCGGCGCGAACGGGGGGGAGGGGGAGTTGGGGAGGGTACCCCCCTCTTGCTTTGGAAAGTTCGACTGCAGCTCTCTCCGATTTTGAGAAAAACTGTCCGAAAATGACTCCATTTTGGTAGAAAATGTCTTAAAATTTCTCCAGTCAATGAGAAAATGTCCCAAAATTGCTCTAATTTTGGAGAAAAAGTCTCAAAATTTCTTGAATTTGGCAGAAAATATCTTAAAAATTCTCTAGTTGGTGAGAGGATATCTCAAAATTTCTTGAATTTTGCAGAAAATGTCTCAA